CTGGCGTAGTGGTACAGTTGTCTGAGAGGTCTGCTTCGAATTACAGATGTGCTGGGTTAGATTCCTGTTCGAAAGCAATCTTTGTCTTATTCACGAATTCTCTTGAGCCAAGAATTTACTTCACATTGCTCAGTCGGTAGGGCATCGAACTCAGAATCGATTGGTTCTAAGTTCAATCTCCAGTGAGGGTCACTCGCCCTTCTTCTTTCCCAGGATGATAAATGAGTACAACACTGTGGGAAGTAGATAGACAAGACACTCCTGGCTGATAGCATAAAAACAGAGACCAGCATCGCACGATGAACTTCATGCAAAGAATGGCAGCGACTTCATGCGATGACAGCAAAATGGCCCAATCATGAACGTGAACGAAAACCAACATTCCAGCGGTGATAGATTTTCCTTTTCTTTTCTGAGATGGAGCAATCTTTCAAGGTCTAAGCAACTCTGTTAATCGCGATTGCGTGTTCTGCCCTTTCTTATTTATGATTTCACTGTAACTGGTTGCTGGTTTTGTCTGATCTGTTGTTCTGATCGGTACCTTGCCATTTACGTTCTGGTGTCTAGAAGTTAAGTAAGTGACCGTATGCATTCTTTTATCTTCTGAATTTACGATACTTTTATAATGCTATATACACTGAGTTCCTAGTTATTCTAACACCCACCTCCGGATTGTGTGAAATATCTACTAAAAACGTTGGAAAACTTTAACTATATGTTAAACTTTCAGTTGTAGAATAAACGCTAGCTCTTGAAGTCATTCTAAACATATCATTCTTTTATTTTGCTTAGTTCTTCTAGCGCTTAGAGCAGGTAATTTGTCTTAAGTCGATATCTTTGAAAGAAATCAAACTACCCCGTCTTTTCATCATACTGCGTTTATTTCATGTTTTCGTTTAGAATTTACAGGTTTGAGTGTGCTGCATTGGCTTCTGCACGTTCTTCGGGGTGCCGAGAAACGGCAATGCTATCTTCTTACCGTTGCGTCAAAGATTCAGAGGATGACGTCGAATCGACGTCCGGTGATGATGATGAAGACGAATATGACAGCGACGACGAAGTGATCAGCAAGAAGGCTGCAGCGCTTTCCTCTAATTGCTCCCCAAGCACCATACTGTCTGCCTCACCCGGTGTGACGTTGAAGAAGGTGAACAAAATTTGGCAGAACACGCTGACCGATCAACAGCTTTCGGAAGAACTGCAATACTCGACAAGTGTGACTAAAGAGAAACTTTTAGTTCGGCGAAATATCGAGACCTACGAAGTTATGTCATTGAATACGCCTCCTGA